GCTCTTCACTTTGATCATTAGCAAAGAGAGGAGAAGATAGAACATAGCCAAGCCAAAGCACAAACGATATACAGCTTTATAGCCAACCAGAATACTACAAGGAACAACACCTTTCTCATTCTCACAAAATCCAGGAATCTAAAAAAACAAAAATGAATTTGTGATCCATATGTTTTCATTAAAAGATGAAAATTCTGTAATCAAATAAAGATTTGAAAATTTTAAAGTTTTCTTTATAGTTTATGAAGAATATGTAATCAAGATTAAGCCTGGTATTTTTTAAAAATATTTTTAGTTGTAGATGGACACAATACCTTTGTTTATTTACTTTTATGTGGTGCTGAGGATCAAACCCAGTGCCTCACATGTGCTAGGCAAGTTCTCTACCCCTGAGCTACAGCCCCAGCACAAGCCTGGTATATTTTAATCAGATAAAGTTAAAAAAGAGGTAAACTTCTATGTGATCAAATGATAAAACACCAATGTTAATCCTAAACTGGATGTTTGAGTTGGAGATTTATTCTCAATTTTTACAACTTGTATTCTACTGTGATAGACTAAATTTTTTTTTAAGAGAGAGAGAGAATTTTAATATTTATTTTTTAGTTATTGGCGGACACAACATCTTTGTATGTGGTGCTAAGGATCGAACCCAGGCCACACACATGTCAGGCTAGCGTGCTACCGCTTGAGCCACATCCCCAGCCCCGTGATAGACTAAATTAAGAGAAAAAAAAAAGTCAATAAAAGTTTTAAAGAATCAGAATAACCAAGTTTGTTTCTAAGAACTAAAGTTAAGTTCATTTTGAATTTTGGTCCCTTATTCTGTAAGTGCTATTTCTAACCATGAATAGATTTGATTTAACATGGCTAGCAGTCATTTTATATTTTAACTTGGAATCTTGAGAAAGACTGATAACCATTCACAAAGTCAAACTGTAAGGAGCTTGGGATGTGGCTCAGTAGCATAGAGCTTGTGTGATATGTAACGCCTTGGGGTTTGATCACCAGCACCACCCAAAAGAAAATGTCATACGGTAATCAGTACAAAAAAGACTTTTAAAATAACCCGGGGTATTGTCCATAACTACATTATTCATATATTTGACAATGAATTATTTCTTAACACTCCTTTCAGTCCCAACACTTGAAAGATTCATGACACTAGTCATGTAAGAGTTCTCAAGTCTTAAGGTCTACTCCTAAGGCCTGTTCATCTCTTGGTTCTTCTGTTCTTATTGCTCCTTCAGAGGTTCTCCTTTCTCTATCAACCCCTTAAATAACTTTTGGCAAAGTTCTAGTAGCACTGCTCACTCTGAATGGTCTTGTTCAGCAGATGCTGTCAGGGTTTCAACTTTTATCTGTAACTCCAAGATAACTTCTATCTCTGATTTCTCTGAGTTATACAACATGTTTTCTGCTTCCTGCCAGATGTGTACTGTTATGTATTTCACATAACAGTACACATCTGTCCAAAATTCCTATGTTGAAATCCTAATCCTTGATGGGATATTATTAGGAAGTGGGGTTTGGGGAGAGGTTAATTAGATCTCGAGGAGAAAGCCTTCATGATGAGATTAGTGACTTTATAAAAAGATAAAGGAGAAGCCTATATGTTCTTTTCCACCATATGAGAATATAAGATGGCCCTCTGCAAATTATTAAGAATACCTTCACCATGCTTCAACCATGCTGGCATCAGAAAAATTTCTGTTGTTTAAGCCTATGGTATTCTTGTTATACTAGCCTAAATTAAGATATATAAATATACACATGTATGTGATGCAGAATCTCCATGTCATGTGCTAGAAACTAAATTTACTATATTTTTCCTAGCTCCTTTCACAATCTGATTCCCTTTAAAAAAAAAAAACAACATAAAAAATAAAATACCTTTATTTTTCATTCTGGGTTAACAGTAATACCTTCCTGCCAATTTTCTAGGATCAGATCCTGATTGTTATTTATGATTCCATCACTATCAATATTTAAATGCCAGCCAGATTCAGTCAACTCTATACCCATAAAAAACTAGTTTAAGGGGCTGGGGCKGCGGCTGTGGCTCAGCGATAGAGCGCTTGTCTAGCACATGTGAGGTGCTAGGTTTGATCCTCAGCACCACATAAAAATAAATAAAATAAAATAAAGATATTGTGTCCAACTACAACTAAAAAAATATAAAAAAAAAACTAGTTTAAGGCCTCTATAAAATATTGCTAATCAATATTCTAATCAATTTTATTTTAACTTGGAATCGTAAATGACTAATAACCACTGCAGTCATACTGTAATCTAATTGATTAGAATATAAATGCTAATCAGTATTCTATAAAACAGCGCTAATCAATGTAATGGCCTCCGGATTTAACTGCTTGACTTCTATCCTTCCTAATTACCAGTATTAATCTTCCTAAAGCATAGATACTCTGCTGGAGATGCTTCCTAATTTTCTATCTATGCAAATAAAATTTCTACTTATTTTTAGAATGTCCCATTTTCAGGGCGAAATTATGGCCCCTTTTCCATGGTACATGATGAGATTCTGTCATCATTTCTTTCCTTGGATTATCATAGCACTTTTCTCTACCACCATCACAAAACTTAATGAGCGACCTTATATTGTCTCTTTCCGAAAAGTTATGAGCTACTAAAATTTTTGTAATTACACATTATTTATTTTTACATTAGTCTCTTTTTAATACCCAAATATCAGGTTTACGCATATTCTACAGTTTCAAGTAATCAATCAGTAAGAAAAAAAACTAACCTTATTTAGTTGTTCTTCCATTCCTGGTATCAACATTACACAAGCTACACATACTCCAACAAGCAAAAAAAGTGCATAGATCAATCTAGTCACTGTGGAGTTGTTTCCACTAGGACAGCATCGGCACAGCAAACATGGGGCACTACCACACAGACATGGTATCTGAGAAAAAGAAAATTATTTTATAAGTACAGTTTAAATTATTTAATGAAATTTTATATCCAACCTGTTCAAAGAGGGGGAGGACTGACCAATTACCAAGGTACAAAAAGTATTTGATTCATATGTATTATCTACAAACTAAAAAAACTTAATAACTTTTATGTAAAGAAAGAACAAAGTCAAGCATAAAAAGCCCTTGATCTCTATTCCAAGTAAAATGAATAAAATTACTTCAAATAACACAAGGAGAGAAATAATCCGCAAGAAACAAAATTTAGCCATGATATAGAATATTAGTGAGTAGCACAGATGCTAAGTCAACTTAGAGTCCCTGTCCCTTAGTCCTCAGCTATCATAATATACATACCTATATACAAGTCACAGGAAGGAAGTACTGTACAAAACAGACTCATAATAACTGATAAAACACAGAAAACAGAGATATTGTATATTAAGCATCCGTAGATCAGAAATGTATGTCACAGCAAATATATAAGCCTACTCTTACCAAAAATTAAAAATAAACATCTCCCTTCAGATAAAGAAAGATAGACAGAACTTTGAAATAGTAAGTCAGTAAGAAAATTCCCTATAAGTATTTCATTTGAGTTACGGAGAAAAAGCTAAAGGCTTAAAAAATTAAAAAGGGAAACCTAAAAAAGGTAATAGCAGAAGATGGAAAGAGGAATCACACAGCTAAGAAATGAGAAGTGGAAAAACAAACTTAAAGAATAACTTTGGTACCAAGGAACAAAAACATAAAACTGAAGAAAAATAAGACTTGCAGTAAGTACCAAAATTCAGACCAACCTCCTGCCTTAACAAGGAAAAATAAATAAATAAATGTAACAATAGTATTTCAGACAATAACAATAAATGTAGGACAGCAATTTCTGAGAGGAGACACCTTGAGCTCTGTGATTGGCCCATTTCTCTTCCTGGGGAGAATGCCAGTGCAGGAATGGTCTACATGACTTGGGGAGATAACTGGGAATTTGGGGAAGTTAAGGCAACTAGAATTCCTAGGTCAAAATCCTGGAGAAGATAAAGCTACACAGACAGCAAGCTCTAGCTGAGCACTGGTTGACATGTGCATTTGCAAAAATTACTCAAGTGGGTCGAGGCAGCTGGTACCTGGGAGTTCTATCACCTAGAGTGAAAAAAAAACATATTTTAATCCTTGAAGCCCTGGGCAGAGAAATAACACAGGGGAGAAAGGAAAAAAAAAAAAAATCTGCCATTTTATTTAAGGTTGTACTTGTTTCAGTTAGCAAAGCTTAAAAGTAACGAAAAAACCAAATTCTCTCCCAATAACTCACCTATGTCCAAAACAAGGATCAAGAATTTATTTTTTAAATATGTAAGTATATCTTATCTAACACTCAGCAAGGTAAAATTTCTGTAACATCTATTTAAAAAACTAGCAGGCATGCAAAGAAGTAGGTAAATATAATCTATAAAGAGATTCAATTAGTCAAAACCAACCTGGAAATAACAGATTACTGAGTTAATAAAGAGGGTCTTATAATATTATTATAAGTATACATTACATGCTCAAGGAAATAGAGGAAAACAAGYTGAGGAGGGACATGAAAGATAATTTAAAAGAACCATACCAACTTAAATATCTTAACCCAAAGAATACTGGTAAGACAGAGAACTAAAGTTTAGTTAATCTGAAGATACAGCAATAGAAAAGATCCAAGATGAAAAACTGATAAAAAGCATCACACCGTTGCCAGATAACTTTAAAATGAATATAAGTAAAACTAGTCTCTGCCAGTCAGAAGAAATTGTCAAAATTTCCCAAATTTAACAAAAATTATGAACTTCCAGATCCAAATTCAATGAAGCCCTAACAAAAGAAGCATGAAACTATATCAATAACACCACAATCAACTGCTTAAAGACAATGACAATCAGAAAAATAAAGGCATATTTTATACAGAGGGAGAGAGAAAGAAATCACACTTCCAATGAACACTTCAAGCCAAAAGATAATATAGGTTTAGTCTGGGAAAATCAGGCTGGTTCAACTTGAAATATTAACCAATGAAATTCATCAGATTAAGATGAAATAAAAGCCACTATATGTTCATCCCAATAAATGTAAAAAAAATACTTGACAAACTTCAATGTCCATTTGTGATCAAATATCAGCAACAAGCAATAGAACAGAACATCCTCAACTAGATAAAGGGCATTTGTAAGTATCTGTTGCTCTCAACTACATTTAATGCTTTAAGTGTAAATGTATTCCCCCTAACTTCTGAAACAAGGCAAAGAAATCTGCGCTTGCCACTTGTATTCATACTTTCACACCGAACATCCTAGCCAGTACAATGAGGGGGACAAAAAAGACACACAAATCATAATGAAAGACATAAAACTATCTTATTCACACTTAATACAATTGACTACACAGAAAATCCTAAACAAACTATAAAAATGCAACTATGATTAACAAGCAAACCTAATAAGGTCATAAAGTAAAAAGTTAACATACACATATCAAACGTTTTTATATGATAGCTACAAACAATTAGAAATTTAAATTAAGCAAATAATAAAAGCAATACATAGGTATAAATCTATCAACGTATACATAAGATTCAAGTTATGAATATCAAAATATTGGTGAAAGATATCAAAGACCTAAATAAATGGCAAGATATGCTGTGTTCATGGATGAGAAGATTCAATATTTTTAAAATATCAATTCTTTACAAACTGATGAGTTTCAAACCAACTCCAATGATAATCCCAAYAATAGTTTAATAATAAACTAGTTACTTTAAAATGCATATGGAAAAGGATCTAGAATACCTCAAAACTGTTTTTTAAAAAAAGTATAAAATTTGGAAAATTCACACTACTTGATTTTAAGATTTTTTTGTTTGTTTGTTTGTTTGTATTTTTTTGGTACTGGGGATTGAAACCAGTGGACACTTAACCACTGAGCCACATCCCCAGCCCTCTTTCTTAATTWTTATTTAGGTACAGGGTCTCACTGAGTTGCTTAGCACCTMGCTAAATTGCTGAGGTTGGCTTTGAGCCTTCTAAGCTGCTGGAATTACAGKCGGGTGCCACCATGCCCCGCTTTAAGATTAACTTTAAAGCTATAGAAATCAGTACAGATACAGAGTGCTATAGATGAAAAGAATAGACACATAAAGAACAGAGTACAGAAATAGACTTGCAACTATGGTCAAAGGATTTTTGACAAAGATGCCACAGCAAATAAAATTGGAAAGAATAATATTTTAACAAATGGTGCTGAAGTAACTGGATATCCATATATTTTTAAAAAGTGAACTTTATAATCAAACCATATATGAAAATTCACTTAAGATTTTCTGGTTATAATACAAAACCACCCACAAAAGAAAAAAATTGATAATGTGTGCCTCATTAAAATTAAGATAGTATTCAGAAGATGAAAGGCTATATGCCTCATACTTGGAAGTCAGGTATATGATAAATCATTTTCATCTAGAATTTAAAAGGAACTCTCAAAACTCAGTAGCAAACCAAGCAATTAAAAAATGGTCAAAACATTTAAACAGATAACCTTACCAAAGTAGATATAAGAATTGCAATTAAGTTCCTATGATGCCTTTTCATGCCTGTTTCTTGGAAGTATTTGAGTGACCCTAAGACTTGTTCTGAGATCAAGAATGGGATTTTTTTTCTTTTATAAACATTTCTATATTAACTCTTAATAATCATCTCTTGGATGTTTGGCCTAAACCGGAATATGACTATGTCTTCAAGGGCTTTTTCACTTGAGTGTGAGACTTACTTCATCTCAAGCTGTAAGTTCCAGATCAACTCCACCTATTATTATATCTTCTTATACTACATGCTCTAGAACTATTGTGTCCTTGACCTTGACCAATTTATACTTCTCTTATTTCTGCTTCTTTGCTGTCTTTTCTTCCATCATTGTAAGGGCTTTTGGAAGTCTGTTGTCTATCCTGTGGTTCTTTTTTGACAGTCTTTACATTTAGCAAATGTTATAGTCTTTGGTTGAAACTGAATAAAAATATGGATTCATTGATTCAAATTCAAAGACTGTCTTCCATAAAATTCCAGGCAGCATGAACCAGGGTTTAACTAACTTCACATTCTAAGACTTATAAGTACAATCACAATGTCTTATGGGGATAGTTGACATGAACACAATGTCCCATCTCCTTTAGCAGCCTCTTTTCTGCCTTAAAACTTTTTTTGGTGTTAATGTAGTTCTGATCAATGATCAGGGGCTGGGAGTTCTTTCTGCTCTTAACTGGGAGAGGTGATAGAATACATTAATCACATCTCTTTTTCTTCCAGATGCTTTAATTTTCAATGAAAGATTAATACAGGCCATGACAACAATCTCAAAACTATTGATGAGAGATTTGGAGTTGAAAAAGTGGAACAGCATTTGCCCTGTTGCCTTTGTCAACCAGAGGAGGATGCTGGAGGCCTGGATGAGTGCTCAATGTTAAGTAACACTTCAGGGTACAGGGGGTGGCTGATCAGGATACTGTCCATGGTGCAGGAGCAAGAAATTCCTGTGTGGGGGGAGTACAGTACACAGCAGCCTGGTGACACCAAGATTCCATGGTCCTAGGTAGTTGCCTTCATGCCTAAGGCAGCTGCAGCCTGGCAAGACTAACAGCACAACCTCAGGCAGCAAGCATGTCTACCTCCTGGGAGACCTAACTTCAAAGGACAGATCAACCATTAAACGCATCTAAACTTACTTAGACATGCAAATAGCTGGGGAAAAGTCTGGGGTTATTAATTAGTTTAATACACAGAAAATAAAGCAAGCAATAACATCAATGAATATAAAAAGTTGTAGGTGAAAGGAAAAATTAATGTATATTTATTACACGGATGAACTACAAAGAACATTATAAGTAATAAAAATAATAAAGAGCTAAGATTTAAATGCTTACAATAGTTTTACATATAYTAACTCATTTAAATAGTCACAACTTATGTTTAACTAAAATTATAAGTATTATGGAAAGAYAAGGGGACATAATAATTATGTATGTATGACTTTGGTAAGGGTGCAGGATGAAGGCCAGTTGAAATCAAGGAACAGGTGTTAAGTCTTAATCTTCCAGTTAGATGACAATGTCTAAAATAGAACAAAAACAAACTAAAAGGCCCTCCAAATTAGGCATATATTATATAAATGTTACTTAGAAATACTGAGATAATATTTTAAAGAAACACTGCCTCCCAAAAGTGAAAATGTGAGTACACTGTCTTTTCTTAAATCACAAAGAACAATATGCTTGTAGAATTCTGAATTAAAAGGTCATTAATAAAAGCTAGGATATACTTTATATACAACCAAAGATATGAAAAACTGTTCTGTATATGTGTAATAAGAATTGTAATGCATTCTGCTGTCATTTATTTTTTTTTAAAATCAATTTAAAAAAAGCTAGGATACAGAAGAATGGATGAATACTAAGTTTTTATACCTCTTTATTAGTGAATTTAAAATTAAAATGTCCTTAAAATGTGTCTGACATCAGTGTTTCATACAATCTTTTGTCTAAACTTAGGATTTCTCAACCATGAGACTACTGACATTTTGAGCTGAATAATTCTTSATGGCTGGGGGCTGCCTTGTATATTGCAGAATACTTAATAGCATCCCTGGCCTCCACCCAGGAGATGCAAGTGGCATTCCTCACCTCAAGCTGTAACAACAAAAAAATGTTTGCAGACAATGCCATATGTCCCAGCAGTAGGTGTAGGGACAAAATCAAGCATTACTGAAAGCTACTGCTATAGAATCACCTCCTTAGAGGTACCTGTTTAGGAAACTCTTCCTGATTAAAAAAAAAAAAAAAAAAAAAAAAAATCAGCAATTCTTTAAGTTTACCTTTTCTTTGGTTAAATTAAAGATAAACTCAATTTATTGCTCTGCATAACATGTTTAGCATGCTACCTTTCCTAAAAATTAAGAGCTGGGGAAAAGTCTGGGGTTAATTAGTTAAATACACAGAAAATAAAGCAAGCAATAACTTCAATGAATACAAAAAGTTGTAGGTGAAAGGAAAAAATGTTGTATATTTATACATAGATGAACTAATGAACATTCTACGTAATAAAAATAATAAAAGAGCTAACATTTAAATGCTTACAATAGTCTATTCATCCATCTATTGTGTATATGCATTGACAGAAGAAATTGGTGATGGGATTTTTTTGGTGATTTAAAAATGTTCTTTATAGTCTGAATTGCTTGGCTCTTCACAGCAACTATGAATCATTTCTACAAAAAAAATGTCACTGTATTAAAAAATAAAAACTAGCAGAGGCTGGCAAAAAAATAGGCACTCAGTAATTACAAGCTCTTTGGGCAAAAAAATGATAATTGTTGAATTACAAGGTCCAGTCACTCTTCTATTCACCAATACCAATGACCAATGTCAAGATTAGGATGGGGGAAGTGCCTCATTAAAAGTGACTAGTAATTTTTCTCTTTCATATTTTTCATAGTTCAAAAATGTTCCACAATTATAAGAAAATGATTTTCACTAAATTTGATTAAACCTATAGAAATCTATGCAAAAAAAAAATGAGGTTGTTTTGTTTGTAGTTCTATATTACCTGACTAATTTAATGATGTGAATGAGTTTTGAAAATTTGAATAATTTTAATTTCATTAAAACTTCTAAGTAAATGAACATATTAACTGTTTAGAATGTGGAAGGAGATGGATTTRTGTATCAGAAGGCAAATCTCATTACTACAGATATGCACTAAAATTGCATAATTCAGAAATAAAAAGACAGAAGCATGTAAAAAACATAGGAAAGAATGGACTCATATTACACACTATGAATTCTTAAGTCAGCCATAATGACTTAGAAGCATGATATGCAATGCTGGTCACCTAGCTTTCTCTATTTTTTAGAGACCTCATTATCATAAGGTAAGAAAACTGCTTACATGATACTACCTTTTCAGAGTATCTAATTAACACTGACTAAAAGGCAGTGTCAGTTTTATCAAGGGCATTCTTCTAGTCAACAAAAGTAGTTGTATATACTTGTTCTCAAGGTATCCTCTAAAGCTATCTTCTTCCTGACTTAAACATACATAAAAAAAAAATTCTTAAAACTTACATACATCAATTTTCCTGGAGACAAAAAATGTTGTTCACCACTGAACTCAAGAATGAGAATACAATGGAAAACACATATCCCTCTTTTTAAGTCTATACAATCTACAAAGAAAACTGGACAAAATCTGATATTACAAATATGATTACATAATATCTTACCAAAAAAATTAAGGACAACAATMTCATGATAATCACTTATTAAATATAGTACTTCTTATTACACTAAACTCATCCCTTTTGTATAAAATTCTCAATATAGACTCAACTAKACTCTCAATATTTTAGAGGATAAAAATAGGTTTCCATACTCAACTGCAAGAATACAACATAGTCAAGAGAATGGGCTAGACTAACAACTTCGATATAATTTTTTGATTAAAATTTAACATTTACAGTTCAAGCCACAATAAAACGTTTTTTGAAAAGATGTTAGGTATGTAAAATAATCACTATATGGGTTAATGTATATTAATGGAATTACTCAGGTAGTCTGAGGAGCAATTGTTAGAAATGGAATTTAAAAATCACAACATTTTAATCTAAATACTTCACCCAAAGTTACATCTTTATTAATGTACTGCCAATATTCTGTCTTAATTTTTTTGGAAGGAGGGAAAGTTAGCTTTTAAAAACTGAGGTTATGTGTGCCACCTGGATTAAGAAATCTTGCAACTATAAATGAAAATGGTTTCACACTTACGACTCTGTAACTAACGAAAATGAAACACACCCCCAAAAGCACATCAAAATTGGGATTGCACATGCATGCTTTTTGTCAAAAGACATTTGACACTACCAAACTGAACAGCTTTTCCAGGTGTGTAAAATTATTACTTGAGAAGCACAGTAACTTCCTAATGTCATCAAGGCCAAAGACCCAGTGGCACAGCTAAGACTGTTTATTTCAGAAATGGTATCACTAAATCAATGCCAGGCTGTCACAGATAACGGACACTTCTTAAATGTAGTCGGCCGGTCAGAACAAAGAGGCCTGGTCCAGGGATGGCAGTGCCGCAGTCTGAGGTCGCCCGGTTAGAGATGACAAAAAAAGATAAGAGTTCCCGGCAGACGGAAAGGCCGAAGCCTTTGAAGAGAAGGCCTAGGGAGACACAAAAGGCGGCCTACCTAAAGGGTCCGAAAGAAAGGGAGGCAGTTTTTATGAAACCGGTGCGGGAGGGGACTACTGCTCGCTCCATCTTTGCGATCTGGTTCACCTTCAATCTGCACTGCATCTCACGACCCCCATGGTAAGTTCTTCGCAAGGCCCAAGGCCCMGAAATTGAATCGGAGTGACCAGAGGAGAAGGGAAGAAAATGGGGACAGAAGGCACTGCCTGTTGGGTGGGGTAGCTCGTTCCCGCTGGGCCTCACCCAGCCCTGCTCTGGTGGCTCTCTCCTGTCTCTCACGCTAGCATCCGGGACGCTGAAAAGATCCAACTCACCCAGCTCGCCATGGAGCACAGCCCCAGAACACTGCCCATCTTCACAGCGTCGCAAGAACTGCGAGCGCCGACAAAATGGAGACAGTCTCTTTCTTGCTTTTCAGGGCTTATTTACTATCTGAGAGACACTTCCTGCGCAGAGTCCAGCCCGCCCCTCCGTGGCACGTCACTTCCTGCGAGGCGTTCCTGGGATGTGACGCGAGAACTACGCCGACACTGAGCGTGCACACCCCTGGGCGGCGACCTACTCTGGCTTCTTGATAGATTCCTATCCTGCAGACTGCTGTTTGGAGAACTCTGGCTACGTAGGGCTGAACGTAGTTTCTCAAATTAAGAAAACAATGTGAGGAGAACCTTTACTTACCATTTAGTTGCTTTTGAGCATTAATAGAACACAGAACTGAAGTGGTGTTTGACATTTTGCCTTCCTCCATCAGTTACCTTTCCGCTTAAAGATAGCTTGTTTTCTCTACCTCGGTGTTTATCTGTCCCACCTCCACTTATTTCTAATTTCCTCCCCTTTAGCGACTGTTTTGCTTCTTTCGTACGCAATTTATTCCTGCAGCTAACTACCTGGGACAAATTTTATTGGGATGTTTATATTCATCTGGTGCTTTCAGTTCTCTGTATCACTTCTGTTTGTTACTGATGCACATTTTAGTTTCTTGTCCTAGTAAGATGTTATATGAAGTTTTCACATTTTAAAAAATTCCTAGATGAAACATACTAATTATTAAAAATGAAACATCTTATTGGCTGTCATTAGCTGTTGAAATATGTGGAACCCTTGCCTGTTAGGTGATAATGCACATTCTCAGGGAATATATTCACATAAAATTTCTTTTTTTATTTTTAAATAAAGAATGGTCCTTGAGAATATTCTAGAGGAGGAGTCTAGCACACATGAATAACTTAAACTTGAAATCGTTATTGCCATAACTAATAACTAGAACGTGTCACAAAATAGCTACCAAAATTACGTAGTGGAGGTAGGGTAATACCTACCAATATGGGAGAACTGCAATCATTAATTGATTAGGAGCAAAAAGAAAAGCGGGGGGAAGGAATGGTATTGGATAAGAAAATATTAATTTGCAAATGYTGGACTTAAAGTCTGAAATATAACTCATTTGCTTTTGACATGCAAGCTTGAAAATCAGAAATGAGACACGACATTTAAAGTAATTTACACTGCAGTCATACTGAAAATATAGGACTGAAGAAGATAACCAAAAAGAAATGGTTGAGAATTACCGGACTCCTTAATATAGAACCAAAGTTATTTTTAACACATGGAATAATTATCAAGTGGGGAGAAGCTATCAACTTAGTTTGTAACTTCTCACTGATTGTAATTGTCATCTTCACACCCCTTGACCGCCAAGTTCTGCATTTTAAACCCTGCTTTCAGTATAAGTTCTGAATATAAGGAGATATTCGACTCCTCAGAATCTTAGTATCCTCATTAATAAGAGAGTTGTGAAGATGAACCTTCTAGAACTGAGGAATTAAATGATATAACATGCTTTTATAAATGATAGCGCCATGTATAGAGTGTTGTAGAAAACCAACTCAGGCTAATTTCCTTATCAACACTAACATCTGTAACCTGTTAACCTAGGGTAGACATAGCCTCATACAAAGGGAAACATCAGTTTCTCAGATGACTTCCTTAGGTTTCCTAACATTTTCTAGTCTATATCCTGGGGAAGACTAATTTTGTGAATCATAGCTTGGAAGTTTTCTTCCCACACCCCTGGTGCTTGTATGGGTGAGGCCCAGATAACATTTAATCTTCATTTTTTATAGATCACCTACTCAGTTGCAATTTTGGATCTAGGGGACCTGTCTTTATATGCCTATAGTTATTTATATGACACCACTTGTAAAATACATATTTAGTAATAGAGTGATGTCTCAACTATAAAGTCAGTGCTTCCATACACAAGTTTGTTTTTTTTTTCATATGGATGTTTAATAGGCACTTAAATGTGCCATATCCAAAAGTGAGGTATCACTCTAAAACTATTTTTTTTCAAATTTGAAATATTTTAAAAGCATAACAGGGTAACCAGAATAATGTCAAATCCAAAAACCTTTCATTATCTTCAAGACATGAAAAATTACAAATGTTATGCTTTTTAATTACAAATGTTCTTGATTGTGTTGCTCCTTCTCCTACCGGAAGAAATGATAACAAATGAATGTTAGGGACCACTAATAATTYGTGCTATGATTCCCTCAGTTTACTGACTGCATATCACAAATTGCTCTTCAAATTGGTTTTCCCAAACATACCTTCATTAGTGTATGAATTGCCCTACATATTTGTGAACATTTGTGTTTATCACACTTTATTTTTTTCTTTATTTTTTAAATACATGACAATAATGGAATACATTACACTCATTATTACCCATATACAGCACACTTTTTGTAACTCTGTATAAAGTGTGTTCACACCAAATTATGCCATTAAAATTGTACTCTTTTTTTGCATTACAATTCTTAATACACATATATACCACATTTTTTCATCTCTGTATATAAGGTATGTTGGCACCAAATTCAAATCTTCATACATGTATTTTGTATAATGATGACACACTTTAAATAAGTTGGGAGAAATTTATGTTTGAGTGAAATGTCTATACTATCAACTTGCATTTCCTTGATAACTGTAAGATTAAGAACTTTTCTTTGTTTATTGGCCATCAGGTTTTTTTCAATATATAGTTACTTTTCAAGTCTTATGCAATTTTTCAGTTATTTATATATTCTTTATTGATTTATAGATGGTTTTCATTCATTTTGGATATGAATTCTTTGTTATATATCTTGTAATCATCACGACCCAGTTTGGGATTATTTTTTCAGTTTTTAAATTCTTTAATAACTCCCCTCATTATAGTTTCAAGATTATTATATCGTCATATTTAACATACTTGTCCTTTGAATTACATGACTTTGTTTGTTGTTAAGAAATYCTTTCCAGTCCCAAAATTGTTAAGATATTTTCCTCCATATATTTTCTTCTAAGTCTTAAAATTTGTTCTTCACACTTAGATTTTTAATCCACATAGAATTGATTTTATGTCTGACATAAGGTATAAATACAATTAGTGTTGTGCTGGTAAACTAGCTCTGTACAAATACTTCCACTGCAGCTGATTTCCAGCTACCAATGATTTAACAATGTGTATTTGATATTCTTGAATACTTAGAAATTGACTGGTTTGAGCTAACTCCAATACACTGGTCCAATTGTATTTTAGTTTTTCACACAATTGCCATAGAATAATTTAGAGAATAATACACCCTTTCTAAACTACAATACCATTGCTGTCATATTTGATGTTTCCATTTACATTTGTCTGTTTCTAAAATTTCTGTTTTGTTTTATGGATTGATGGTCTGTACTTATGGTTCTCATATGTAGTTTTGATTAGTTTCTTGMAAATAAGTTTTGATATGTGGAGGAGTAAGTTTCTTTGTTCTTTCCTTCAACCTGTTTGTGCTGTCCATGGTCTATTTTTTTAATAAATATTTTACAGTTGAGTTGTCAAATTTGAATGATAAATTATATTCTCACTCTAATCATTAGGCTTTGTTCATATTTTAAAAGTATGTCATCATACTTTTCTCAACAAGGATGTTTTTGGCTGTATCATACTTTATAATGTGAGGTTATGTTTTACAAGACAGGTTGATTACCATCTTGATCCCCTTACTAAATATCAGAATTACCTACTATTCCTAGTTATTTTGATAAACCCTAAAGGACAATCTTGCATCCTTGTTTACATTATCAGTGGTTTACAAAAATCGAAGGAAGCATATTCTTTTTATTTATTTATTTTTGCTTTTTAAAATTTTATTGTATTTTCAATGGAGAAATACATCATCTGTTTACAAAATAGCTCATAAAAAATACAAGTTATAGTTACTATAAAACAAAGCAGACTCCAGTCATGAGTCATTACATACATCATGCAAAAGCAACAGTCTGATCTCCAGGTTATGAAAACTAGAATTAAAAAGTCACTATACAGTGGCACACGCCTGTAATCCCAGTGGCTCAGGAGGCTGAGGCAGGAGGATCGAGAGTTCAAAGCCAGCCTCAGCAACAGTGAGGCACTAAGCAACTCAGTGAGACCCTGTCTCTAAATAAAATACAAAATAGGGCTGAGGATGTGGCTCAGTGGTTGAATGCCTCTGAGTTCAGTCCCTGCTACCAAAAAAAAAAAAACAAAACAAAACAAAAAAAAACACAACAGAAAAAGTCCAAGTTTCTAGCCTGGAAACTTGGATAGTTACATGAAACATTTAATAAACAAATTTTCCCCAATGTATAAACAAAATGATAAGACTAAATATATGCCTAGCAATATCRATCTAACTCTGAAGCTACACAAAACACAGACACATTTTACACTTCACCTGTTAGTTGACCTCTTTTTTCCTTAAGTGGTGGGAGGAAGGCAAGGTGACTGTGCAGAGCTGATTTGGGAAGCAGAAATATTGTATACTAGACATTATAAAGTCATGGTGAAAAGAAAACCTTAATTAATACATAGCCTAAGAGTCAAAGACTACACTCAACTTCAGAAAACAATATCTGCCAACTCAACCTGTTATCTTCAAAATGCTAAAAAAGGAGAATGGAGGATATAAGACTTGACATGACTGAAAATAAATTTAGTTTTTTTTTTGTGTGTGTGACATCCCTTAACTGGAGTAATTTTAGTGGTGGAGAAATGGCTGGGTGTGCAGCAGTTTAAGGAATGCTTTCACTCGGTGTACCCCGAGCTTTCACTGAAATTTATTTGTGGCTTAGAAACTTCAGTAGCCTGTGTATTGGTCACAGATGTTACTGTCACAGCTACAGCAGGACTGTTTCTACCCKAAGAGCTGCCAGAACTATTCAATGGACTGGTCTTTATAGCATTAGTAGGTGAAGGCACAGATATTCTGCAATCACTGTCCATAGACAAGTCAAGGCTGATGCCATTTAGAGCCATTAATCTGATTCCTGTTGAATAATTTTTTTTCTCAAGCAAATGATTAGGTAGCAGTTGATGGAATTACTTTCTTTTTACATGCATTGAAGCAATTTTCATATCCATCTCAAATATCTTGCTGTTTATTGCTTGCCTATAAACTATATCTGT